TTTCTTTCTTTCTTTCTTTTTTAATATTGACCTGGATACAGCGCGCCGATTCGCTAAAATGGACTTATAGGCTTCTATTTAAAAACAACAAGGGCACTTGGCTTCTGCAGTAAAACGTGAACTCGTGACAGTAGCCCCTCACTGCAGAACAAAGATCCAGGGGGCGTGGTTGAATCCACATCTAGGGGGTGGAGATGGTAGGTTTAGGGGTGGGGATGGGTGGGTTTAGGGATCAGGGGCTGGAGACGGGTAGGTTTAGGTATATGTAAGGTGGGAGGAGTTGGATCTGGATCCAACCTCGCCCCCTGGATCTTGTGTTCTGCAGTGAGGACCATCTCAATCGTGATGCCTTGAAAGTGGACAAAACCGGCTTTTTTGACAAAACGTGTTTAGGGTTCAGATCGCACTATATGTGGAGAATAATGCACGAATGCATGAAATTTAAATTTCATTTGGTTGGTTTTATGTTGTTTAAGTTAGCGTTAAGACAAGAAATGTGACTGTTTGTAAAATGAAATTTTATTATTAAATAAATTTTTAAAAGAGGTAAATGATTTACATGGAAATGAATCAGATTCAGTCAGACGATCAGTTTTCACCCAGATGGGTGCATCTTACCCACTGACTTGGATCAACTTACCCTAACCTGGGGCAAATTGAGCCACAGGGACACTTTTTTATTAGAAGCCATGTTTTTAGAACCCTTTGTCATAGATAAATTTTGATCGTTTAAAATAATAATAAACATCCTGAAATTAGATACTTTCATTGTACTTCTGCCTAATTTTCCCTTATTTTGAAGACTACATAAGTAAAAAAAAAAAAACACTCTCCCCTACTAATTTCAACTGGTTTCTAAACTTAAATGGATTGAGGAAATCGGTTTCCTCAGATGAAATTATTTATCCTAGCTGATTAGGTTTTACAGTGTATGCACTCAAGGGTCACTAGCTCATTTCAGCATATCCATAGTTCAGGCTATGGTTTTGCTAGCACAAAGTGGTACATTGCGCCTATTGGTTTCATCATTTATATAACTCCTTATCACTGGTTGCAGAACAGCTGAGCAAAGCTCAAAGCTTACAGTCTGTATTTATGAAGGTCTTTATCAGACTGATCTCAGTGCAGGGCTAAATTTACACTCTGCATTTAGGAGGATTTTGATTATTCTTTATGAAGGGAAGGGATTTTGCTGCGGGCTGCATCCTTCCACAAAAACATCAATATCCTTCACAGAGAAAATAAGCGGGAAATCCTTCACATTAAATGATAATGTTGGACAGGGACACAAAATGCTGGGATATGTTTAATGGAAAATACAAAAAAACAGCATGGATGCAGACACATTCATGCATGATTGAGAAGGACACAATACTATAATCCAAGAAAAGAAACACATGGATAAAAGATGTTTGTGTTAGAACCCAGAGCCTGTCACAGAGCCAATAAGCTGAAGAAACTCAGACTCTTTTTCACTGTATTTATAACTTTCGTACCATATAACTCCGTTTACACGAAGGTCAGTGCTCTCAAAACAATTAACACAGCCATCTTAACTGACTCTTAATTTAGTAAAACATTATTAATTCATAAAAAATGTCTGTATTCTTTACAGCTAGATATATTACGTTTTTTTTTAGGTTTTTCTTAATAATCGCTAGGACCAATTTATCAATACTTAGGTCACTTAAAAAAATTTCCGTTTACACGAAGGTCAGTGCTCTCAAAACAATTAACACAGCCATCTTAACTGACTCTTAATTTAGTAAAACATTATTAATTCATAAAAAATGTCTGTATTCTTTACAGCTAGATATATTACGTTTTTTTTTTAGGTTTTTCTTAATAATCGCTAGGACCAATTTATCAATACTTAGGTCACTTAAAAAAATTAAAAATAAAACAGTGAGTACAACAGCAGTATTTTTGGACTAAAATGTGCATCATGTATCATTGTTTGGCATAACAATTTTTTTTTAGTGACTACTAAATTACATGAATAATTTTCTTATAATCACTGGCAAAACTCGATGTACCTACAAGGCCAGTTTGCACATTTTACATACGCTTTTCAAAACTGGTCCACTAATCCAAAACTGAATGAGACAGCGATTTGCTACATTTCAATAAATTCCAAATCTAAAAAAAAATTGAAATACTATCAAAACAATTATAAGGTGCAGCAGTAAATTAAGTGCAAAATTCAAAACAAAGGTAAAACATCTGTACAAAAATAAATAAATAAAAATCTATACAGAAAATTCCTTAATTTTAATTGCTGCTTGATTCTGTATATTAAAAATTTTGTAAAGCTATACTATACGTTGACTTGTGAAATTAAATCAGTTACGATGAGTCGTGCTTCTCAGAAGTGCTTATTAACCTGCACTTGTGATTTCGGCTAGCTTTTGAATAAATTGTGCATCAGAAAGACCATGAGTGGACATTGCAGCTGAGGATGAGACTATTAAAACACGATGAACCTCTGGAATATAAAATTACACAGACACATCCAAGGCAGTTCACACACAGATGAAGGTATGCAAATTCAGATTCACTAATAAACTCATACATTTTAAACATTCAAACCTTTTGGTGCACAGTTGTACATCTGTTAATCGTTTTGCTGTGTGAAACTTACTTTATCAGAATCAGATCAGAAAGAGCTTTATTGCCAAGTGTGTTTACACACACAAGAGAATATGAATATGTACTTTTTAATGAATATGCACTTTTTTATTTTGTGCTTGTGAATTGATTTTACAAATATACATATTTTTTTCGTGCATGTGATTTTTTTTAAATTTATTTATTCATTCATTCATTTTTATTTATTTATTTTATTTTATTCGATTTTATCATTTATTAAAAAATTTTTGTGCACGTGAATTAGGTTTTATGCATGTGAATTTGGCCCTCTCTCTCTCTCTCTCTCTCTCTCTCTGTCGTCCAGCAGAAATGCTGGAAAGAAAGTGATGTCTGAGATGTTGCGGATTAGACTTCTATGACTTCTTATTTCATAGTAGGTTGAATAATATTTACAAGTCCAGACTTGCTTTTGAGCAGTAAGGTCCAATTATGGAATTTCCTCTTCACATCTATTTCTAATTACAAATAACTACTACTTTCACTATATTGCTTTTTTTTTTGGTATGAATCTATGTGTACTGTACTTGTCTACCAGAAACTATGCTTCTAAAACAGAGGGAGAGTTGTAGTTCCATCCATGCAACCTTGCAATGCTGTTATGACAAATGTTATGGCTTCTGGAAACATCAAATTGGTAAACTGTTGGTAATGATGGCACTTGTGAGTTTGGGACGGGACTGTCTGTTGAACCAGACATTGGGTTAAAGGCCCTTTTAACTGCCTTTACTATCTTTGTACAGTAAGGTGCAGATTGTTGTTATGTGTTTATGCCCACTGTGTAATATGTTTAAATATGTCTACCAAGTCTTGGAGGAAGATAATGAAAAAAAAAATCTGGAAAAGAGTAGTTGCACTAATATATTATGCTAACATGTACAGTAGGCAGTATCATTACTGGCATGTTTTAGTCACCAACTGAGTTTTGGTGAGGATAACATTGAAGGTAACATTGTTCAATCAAAATCTCATATCTGGCCAACCATATATGTCCATCTCCAAACATCCAACAGGACTGTTTTATGCTTGATCATATTCCAAAATAAAACGTATGCTATTAATAAACAGAATGTGGTTTTAAAAACCGATAACCACTTGTGTTAAAAAGAGCTTTAAAAAAAGATGATACGATTTTCAAAATGTTGCTTTTTTAGGGATACACACTGACACTGTAACCTCCCCAAACAGCATGTTTACAATTATACTTCATTGCTGATCAATATAACACAATCAATTATGTGCACTTCAAGGCCAGTGAGATACCCCATGCCTTCTATTTTAGTAACTCACCTTAACAAGATGTGGTATCTTTCTAAATGAAGAAATAGTACAGTCCCCTTTTCTAGTGCATACACTGTTTTTTTAAAGGAATAAATCACCCAAAAATTTAAACTTGCTCAAAATGTACTCACCCTCAGTCCATCCAAGATGTAGATGACTTTGTTTCTTCATCAGAACAGATTTTGAGAAATGTAGCACTTGCTCACCAATGGATCCTCTGGTTGCCGTCAGAATGAGAGTCCAAACAGCTAATAAAATCTAGTATACTGTCTGTTTATTAGTACTTAGAAAGCACATATTAATGTTTTATTCTGCATCATCATATTGTAGATCCCTTAATCCTATCAATACTTAAAATTAACAACTACCTTACTAACTATTAATAAGCAGCAAATTATGAGTTTACTGAGGCAAAATCATAGTTAATAGTGAGTTAATAGTGAGAATCCCCAAAAGTGTGAGCGTTTTAACTTTAAACTGTCTCTTCTGGACAAAATATCAGCCCTTAATTCAGAATAATGCTTCCTCCAGTGAAGTCCATCCCCTGTTGTCTTCTCACATTAAAATCTACTGGTTATTTGTTTAGAATGTTTTTGCACTGTTTCTTGTAAATTGCTTGCTCTGTGTATATTCAGGCAAGATGGCTTTTCAATTTAAATTTGAAGCTAAAAACTGTTGAAGTTAAAAACATATTTGGTTATTACAAACATTCACACAATTTTGTCCGGTTCACATGATTTTAATTGATGGACTGAAGTGGTGTGGATTACTTGTGGATTATTATGATGTTTTTATCAACTGTTTGAACTCTCATTCTGACGGCACCCATTCACTGCAGAGGATCCACTGATGAGCAAGTGATGTAATGCTACATTTCTCCAAATCTGTTCTGATGAAGAAACAAACTCATCTACATCTTGGATGACTTGAGGGTCAGTAAACTTTCAGCAAATTCTTAAACTAAAACTAGTCTTTTAACTTTCAAAGGACAGACTTAGCATCAAAATGTACTTATCACGGCAACCCAGGCTTAAGACAATGTATGATTAAAAATAGCAGATAGGATAACTTACCAGTCGTTTCAACAATGCCCTCCAAAATCACAACTATTTCGAACTGTTCAGTCTGCATGGATCCCTGTGAGAGCTCATAGAAGGGGCTCTTGGTGTCAATCACATGACAGATTGTGAGTGGTGACACAAGAAAGAGTTGATCCGCTCCAGTGCTAAAGCCCACATCCAGCTCCAGCTGATCCAGGGGGAGGAACTCGCCCTCGGGTGTCTGTCGGGACTGCAGAAGCGAAAAGATCGGAGATGGGGCGTAAAAATTGCTTTAGACACTGTACTGTGAATTGAGCTGTGAGGATAGACAGTCAGGCATCAAAGGACAGACAGGTAAAGAAATCTAGCAATGGCTGTTTTGATTCTGTGTATAACATAGTTTTAAGGCAGCCATCGGGCTTGTGAATCTGTTTTCTGATTAACTTTTCAACAGTTTCTTATGCTGTTATAATTGACATCTTTAACATTTAAATGAAATACAAAGTTCTGGAACTCTAGATGGCGCAGTCCGATAGGTCTGAAACTCTAGATGGCGCAGTCCGATAGGTCTAGCTCAATCTGACCTGGTGACATCATTGTCACATGGCAGCTGATTGGTTCTCTCCTGTATCGGTAGCCAATGAGCTTGCTGCTCAGCATTCAAATACCTGGCTTTTGTTTGCTCTAGCAGTTGGCAGCACACTTAAGAAATCCTCCGCCTTCCCCAGCTCCACCTGTATAGATCTGCTACGGGGTGATTCATGTATGCTATATGGGGGTTATTCATATGTGTTATGTGTGCAGCAGCAGTATTTCTTACATGCTCACAGCAGCATTTTGTAGATTATTGGCAGTAGCAAGTCTCTGTACTTGCTCTGCCGCTGCAACAGCAGCGTAGCAGATCTATTCCGCCCAAGGTTATTATAGTTTTGAATTTTTAAATGAGTTTTATTTTAATATCGTATTTCAAATTAGCTATAAAATTCAGTTGAGTTTTTATTAGTTTCATTCATATTTTTGTTAGTTTTAGTTTAGTTTTTATTTTGTGAACGCATTTTTATTTAGTTTGTATATAGTTTAGTTTCAGTTCTAGTTTCAGTTTTAATTAAAGTTTAGCAGAATTAACAGATCACTTCCAGAGTGCAGGCCCAAAGAAAGACGTAGGCATAATATAACCTTAGTGAGGCAAACATATACCGACACAAAATTAACGCATGCTGAGATTGATTAGATAGTAAAAGTATACAAATATACGCCAAAGAAAGCAGGCAAGCCTTTTTACTAAATTTATCTACACAAGTCGCGCTTAATGTCATATCCAATGATGTGTGTTGAGATATTTAGTATGAAAATAAATGTAGCCTGATTTGGTTATATGCATTTTCTTATTTAACCATAATCATGATATTGTAGCCTAACTGTCGTGTCTTGCTCACTTTTCCGTTTACCGCCGTGCCTCAATCAAAACTGGGACTAATGAAATTCAATAATAACGGCAATCACATTTAAAAGTAAAGGCTTATATTTGAATGTTCTTTTCATTTATGAAGAATTATAAGCGTGTGTATGATGTGATTTAGCCAATGCACATTTGTTCAAAAGCCTGGCAGAGTGATCACAAGATGCTAGGCTAAAGTTTTGTGTTGTTTACAGAAAGGATGCGCGTTCTCATCTTTTTTTCTGTTAATTATCATGTTGCTGCATGTCTGTTTTTCTTCAAAGCACCAACTTAATGCCTAATGTTGGTTTGATTGCTTGTGTTACATGATAAAATAAATAATCTTGCTTATTTGATGTAATAGATTTAATGCGAGTGCGGTTCGGGTCGTGACTCGCGGTCTTTGTCAAACGGTTCTGGTCTGGTACAGAATTAAATTAGTGCTGCTGTCAGATAATGGGTCGGGTGTTCTGTTAAGTACTGTTGGTGCACGTTTACCAAACAGGACCCGTGCAGGCTTTAAACTGCTTTGCATCTCTCCGTCAGATAACGTGCATGATGCACCATTAGCCTACAGGTAGGCTATTTCCCTAAACCTCCACACAGCTCATATTTTTCCACCAAGGGGTGAGAACGTAATGACTACGAAAACGATTATTTATTTTTTGATAATTATTTTATTTCAGTTAGTTTTTCAATAACTGTTGTTTTGTTTCATTTTAGTTTTTCAATTATTTTGACGTTTTTATTTTATTTCAGTTTACAAAATAGTTTTTTCATCAATCGTTTTAGTCTTAGTTTTAGTTTATGTTTACGAAAATAACCTTGATTCCGCCAAGACCAAATACATTAACATTGTCATGTACATTACCATGCCAATCCCTCCGAGAGTTGTCATGACAGAAATAAGGTTATTTCTCGCTCTCTTTTATTTTAACTATTTTTAATGAAATGACAGAATGTCATGATTCACAACCAAGCACTAGCTGAGTCTGTCAATGAACAGAGGGCAGGATAACACTTTCCATTACATTACTGCAGTGCCCATGTTACACATATTTTATGTAAATATTCAACAGTAATAATATTAACAAAGTTAAGCAGCTGTAGAAAGCAATGGTAGGTATGGATGTTTTGAAATATATGCCCCCCAAAATTAAAAATATGTCATCATTTGCTCACACTCATGTCGTTGCAAACCTGTATGACTGTTTTCCCTCTATGGAACATAATAGAAGGTATTTTGAAGAATGTTAGTAACCAAACAGTTTTGGTTCTTATTGACTTCCATAGTATAGAAAAAAATAAAACAATGGAAGACAACGGGTGCCAAAACTGTTTGATTACCAGCATTCTTAAAAATATCTTTTGTTATGTTTCACGGAAGATAGTCACACAGGTTTCAAGTTACAGGACCTAAATTAAGCTGAATAATAGCACTATTGTCTTTTTTAGAGATGCTTTACAGCTGAATTGTATTCATTTTGTAACTGGAGAACTTTACAACATTAATACTATTATTTTCTTGCTTATTACTGTGAAGTTGCTTTGAAACATTCTGTATTGTATAAAGTGTTATATAAATAAATTGGCTTGACAGGTTTAGAACAGCATGAGTGTAATTAAATGATGACAGAATTTTCATTTTGGGGTGAACTATCCCTTTAATAATATTTCAACAATGCTAAAGTAAACATGTGAAACCCCTCTCCCCCGGGTCCTCACCGCCACACCTCGTTCTCGTTCAGAGTGGGTCTCGAACCCGGGTTTCACCCCCCTAAACCTCACTCCCATCCGGGTCACGGCACCAATGTAACCCCTCTCCCCCGGGTCCTCCCCGCCACACCTCGTTCTCGTTCAGAGTGGGACTCGAACCCGGGATTCACCCCCCTAAACCTCACTCCCATCCGGGTCACGGCACCAATGAAACCCCTCTCCCCCGGGTCCTCCCCGCCACACCTCGTTCTCGTTCAGAGTGGGACTCGAACCCGGGATTCACCCCCCTAAACCTCACTCCCATCCGGGTCACGGCACCAATGAAACCCCTCTCCCCCGGGTCCTCACCGTCACACCTCATTCTCGTTCCGAGTGGGTCTCCGGCATGGGAGGCAGATGCACTAACAAGGAGGCTTGAGATCAGTGGAGTGAGGTTTACCTGCACAGCACCTACCGCTGGCCTCCGTTACACATGTATAGAAAACAAAAGATTTTTACATGTGTAAACCAAACCCTCATCCTAACCATACAGTAAGTACATGTAGTTAATTAATATTACTCAGTACTTAAATTATAATTACACTGTAAGAAGGACACTGTAAAAATAAAGTGTAACCCATAAACTCTATAAGTGGACAAAAGGCAGACCCTTACCTTGAGCAATTTACACCGGATCTGGGCTGAAACCATGTGGCTGTTGCGCAGATTTCCCACCCTGAACATCAGCGTGAGTTTGCCATCGCGCATGGAGATGGCTGCGTTTTCACTAAACATCAGAGTCTCTGCCCTCTTCTTGGGTTGAGACATCTTGATAAACATACAGCCTATTAAAAAGGCATCCACTATGGAGCCCAAGATGGACTGAAACAAGAAGAGAATGATTCCTTCTGGACATTTATCAGTGATGTATCTGTGGCCATATCCTATAGTGGCCTCTGTCTCAATGAAGAACAGGAAAGCAGAGGGAAAGTTATAGACATTGGCCACGCATGGTGTGTAATTCTCATCGTGGGTTCGGTACAGGTCGCCTCTGATGTATGCGATGACCCACCACACCAAAGCCATGAATAACCAGGCTACTGTGTATGTGAGGATGAAGATGAAGAGATTCCATCGCCATTTGAGGTCTACTAAAGTTGTGAATAAGTCTGAGAGATATCTGCTGGTCTCCCCCCCCAGGTTTCCATGCTGGACGTTACATCGTCCATTCTTGTCGACAAATCGCTGTCGTTTCCTCCTCTTGTCTTTCTGATGGCTGGAAGATGTGGTGGTCACCACCTGATAGTCGCTTCCAAATTTCTTACGAAGAGCAGACATTTTATCCTGCAGAGACAGAAGTGAAGCTAACTTGACTGTCTGATATTTTAGCAGTGTATTAGACCTGTCATGACCTTTTCAATGAATGAAGATTTTATAAGTAAAAACAAAAGCATAGAAAAGACCAATGCTGGTTGTCATATGAATACATTGTCACGTAGGCTTTATCTCAGTAATTAATGTAGCAACTTTTGACTCAGAACTCAAATAAAAAGTTTTCTCAAATAAAAAATGTTTTCTCTTGCTAAAATCTAAATCATTACATTTGTGTAATTGCTGGTGGTTAAATAAGTTAACACAAAACACACATGGCTACATTTCAACAAAAGTCAACATTACAATGTAGATTTGAACTGAAAGGCTGATGTCAGTTTTCACTGTGTTTTGTAGTAATATTAGATTAATAATTAGAATTTTGCCAACACAGTTGCTTAATAGGTTACACTTCATTTTAAGATGTCCCTGATATAGTGTAATTACTCAAATAAGCAGTGCGTAAGATTACCAAACAAACTGTACTTACTAAAGATTTTGGGTCAGGTTTGAGATTAACTGCTTTTAATTATGCATAATTTACATTTGTTACTATAGTAAGTATGAGCAAGGAGGACACTGTAAAATAAAGTGTTACAGTTTTAAATTTGGTTGGCTTTTTAAAATTAATTTCCTTTGCTCAGTAATTACTTCATTGTGTACATTTTGCTGTAACATCATTAAGATTTTGTGGACGATAGCTTTTGTACTTAAGACAAAGTGAAAGTTAAAGTGTTAATGGACAGCAGATTCTATGGTTATAGCTGTTACTAATGTACTGTATCTTGGGCAGTAACCGTGAAAATGTTCAATAGCTTTTTTTTTTTTTTTTGGAGTCAACACAGATTGACTTTCAAAACTCAACCTACAGTACAGTACCCTGAGAAATAGTCAGCAAAAATTGTGACGATAGCCCCAGTCTAATGAAAATATAAAGAATAAGAAAAGACAATAGTCTTACCTATATTTCACCATACGGGGATTTTTCCTCTGTTCTCATTACCTGCGTTCTTTCATTTCAGAATAAAGCGTAGTTTAAAGGAAAACAATCGTTCGTTTGTTTTCTGAAACGGTGTAACGATATATGTCTCCTCGTTGGGGCTGAAAGCAGAGATGCAGGAAACTCTCCACAGGCGCTGTCCATCAGCTCGGGTGCTGAAACACACGGTCTGTCCTCACTCATCAGTTCATTTGAGTTTCACAAACCCGAGCTCAAAGTTGTGGATGATTTTCGTCAGTCTCATCACAGATGAACACAGCTGAGCGAATCCTTCCGTCCAGCGATTTGCGCAACAGCTGATGGGTACAAAAACTAATCTAGATGCTTTCTCAACACCTGGAAGGTTTTTCTCCACCTCTGTCTGCTCAGCAGCAGAACATATGCAACTTAACTAGATTACGTTGCTCGGAGCCTGTGTGTTAAAGCAAAGCTGATGGTTATCAATTCCTCCGGACGCGCCTCAGACGCATTTACATTATGTTTCCTTCCTAAACCCAAAGCTCGCTCGTTCCAGCGTTATCGAGCTCGTTTCGAGAGAATTAAATAAAAAATCCATCCATTTAATCCAGTTCGTGTCCATCGGACACTCAGAGTGAGTGTGCGAGGCAGCTCTTTGTCTCTTCAGTTCTCCTGAGCGCTGAGCGTTTCTCTCGCCGCGTCTGAAGCTCCTCGCAGGATACTAAGGTGTGTATCATTCATCAAGGGAGGGCGGAACTTCACAATCACAATTCATGTCTGTTGGCTAAGGAAGTTATACTCACCAGGAATTTGACTTCAGCTATTCATATATCACAAAAATATCAATGTACCGCATGTATTAGTAATATAGAAAATACAATGCAATACACAACACTGCATGCAGTACAATAGGATACAGTCCACATATGGGATGTATAGTGTTGTAAAGAATGCAATAAACAATAATTACTTACTTAGTCAACAATCTTTCCGTAGAAAGCCACGTTTCTAGCATTGGTAAAACTGCATTTTTCCATCTCAAAAATATATCTAAATTACGACCTATTCTCACAATGTCAAATGCAGAAATGTTAATCCATGCGTTTATGACCTCAAGGTTAGATTATTGTAATGCTTTATTGGGTGGTTGTTCTGCACGCTTAATAAACAAACTCCAGCTGCTCCAAAATGCAGCAGCTAGAGTTCTTATTGGAACCAGGAAGTTAATATTAGTCTGTTTCTTTCTTATTCCGAGGTCACCGTAGCCACCAGATTCAGTCTTTATCCAGATCAGATGGTCACTGCAGTCACCCGGATCCAGTACGTATCCAGACCAGATGGTGGATCAGCACCTAGAGAGGACCTCTACAGCCCTGAATGTAAGCGGAGACCAGGACAACTAGACGAGCCCCAGAGACAGATCCCCAGTGAAGACCTTGTCTCAGACGACCACCGGGACAAGACCACAGGAACCAGTTGAGTCCTCTGCACAATGTGACTTTGCTGCAGCCTGGAATTGAACTGCTGGTTTCGTCTGGTCAGAGGAGAACTGGCCCGCCGACTGAGCCTGGTTTCTCCCAAGGTTTTTTCTCCATTCTGTCACCGATGGAGTTTTGGTTCCTTGCCTCTGGCTTGCTTAGTTGGGGGCACTTCATTTCCAGCGATATCGTTGACTTGATTGCACAGATACTATTTAAACTGAACTGAGCTGGATAATGGCATCACTGAATTCAATGATGAACTGCCTTTAACTGAAAAATGAGTGTTTACTATTGTCACTTTGCATTATTGACACATTATTTTCCTAATTAATGCTGCACAGTTGCTTTGACACAATCTGTATTGTTAAAAGCGCTATATAAATAAAGGTGACTTGACTTGACTTGACTAATTCAAAATAGACCCTTTCTTAAATACACGTTCCTGATCTTTGTGCATAGTTCATCGATGCATGTTGTAGACATTGTTTTAGCTAAGTCTGGCTTCCCCTCATTGCGCACAGCACAGCAAATGCTGGTTTCTGGTTACACAACAAAGCAAACACTGTAAGGTCCAAAACCTTTGAGTCAAACAGAAAATGCATGATTTACTGTCTGTTGTCAAATTGCTAAAATCTTTCTTTTGTCAAGATCAAACACCTTGTTGTACATGTGTGTATCTATTTATAGCTTGTTTGGATGTCAAATGTAATTTACCCATCAAAGAAGAGTGATGACCAGCCACCTGCCTGGCATTTCGCTGTAGTCTACCTGTCTAATTTGATTTGGGTTGACAGTCTGATTTACTGAGGCCTTGGGAGTATGTACTGTAGATGCACATTGAAAATTCTTAACACTTTCTCTAAAGAGAAAAGCTCTTTGGATCATACCTAAGTGAGACAGTCAGCTGAAGCAATGTATTCTAGAAGTGAGTAATTTGTAAGTTTGTCTTGTGAAGGCATAAATAATATTGTGCATACATCATCCTGATTTATCAAGGCAGTAACAGCATATTTACACTCTAAAGCTGTTTTTCTGTTGTGTGTGTGTGTGTGTGTGTGTGTGTGCGTGTATATGGCTTGTGTCACAAATCAAAAGATATTTTCCATTCCACTACACCTAGAAAAATGAGCAGCTCCTCCCATCATTCAAGGTTAAATAGTTTATTGATCTGTGCTTGTTAAAGCAAGACAGTTTCCTTTAAAACCACTGAAGCTGACTCAGAGATTTAAAGGAGAAACTACTGGAAATAGTAATAACAGTAAATAATATGAGTGTTGTCTTTGCACCAAAGAGCTCACAAAGATAAAGACGGATTTCTCTGATTTTCTCTCTTTTTAGATTCAGATCAGACAGATTCTATCTCTTTTTAGATTCAGAATAAAGAAGCCTCACTGACATGTCAGGTATTTTACCACAGGGAAATTATAACAAGGGTTATTGTTCAGTAACTAGAAGGTTTTGAGTCAAAAGTTCAATTACTCAAATGCCAGTTTTCTCTAGAAATGTTTCAGTATTAAACTATTAAAACGCCAAACCGGTCTTTCCCTTTGGCACAACCTGACCTGCATTTCCCTCAGCATGTCCCTTTTTGTTTCACCTTCCCCTTTTGTATTTTGTCTCTGTCTCTCCCTGCCACATTATGCATTTATTTTGTGTATTTTAATGGTAATTTGAGCGACAAAATATGGTGACAAAACTTTTCAAACTGCTGTTACAAAACTGAATAATTTGCCCACCTTAGCAACAATATCAGTATACAAATACCTGAGTTATTAAACATGATTTTATGAGTGCAGATTACATTGATGTATTTACAATTGAAAAAGGTATTTGAAAACAAAATCCTTTTGTTGAAATTAGAGATTTGAGAGCTAATGAAACAGTTATGACCAGCTGTTTTTAATAACAATGCTTTATTCTAAATGCAGTAATATTTTTTTTCTCTATAACACAATAATGCATCATATTCATTGCGTTGTAGGTAATCTAGCCTGCCGAAATATCAGTTTTTAAATCAATCTGTTTATTGTCTGTTGACATACTGTATCACACTTTTCCCAGAGTGTTTATGTATATATATTTTCCAAGCCAGTTTAGCACATTTTCTCAGTCTGCCCTTGAATGGATCAATATCAGTACAGAAGACAGCAGGAATAATTATTCATTACATTCTAATTAAAAAATACTGGTGTCTGCAATAAAACAAAATCCTATTTTTGAATGTTTGAATGTGATGAAAAAAGTTGACACCGTTTGTCACAAGAACTGTCCACATGCACCACTATTAACATTTAATGACTGTTGCGTTATTTACTGGGATAATTTCAAGGAATATTTTGATTTCAGTTATGTACAGATATATCCGATTAGTGTTCAGATTCTCCTGGCCTTTTCCTTTCCTTCAAAGATAATGAACTTTCCCATGGCCAGTCTTCTAAGTCTTAAATGTGGCGAGTTGTCAGATAAGAAGAGCAGCAGCTTCGGCGTACGGAAGCGTCAGTGGTTAATAATGAGTTCTGGGTGAGAGCGGGTCAGTGTAACAGCTGCTCTTCCATTCCTTAATGAGCACAAGAGGTTCTGTTTGTCTTGAGTCTCTGGTAGACTCTAAACAAAAGAAATTCACACTGGTGCTGGAGCATTTTAAGATCAGAGTCGAGTCTGACGCCAGCAAGGTATGTCTGAGCCCCAGAGAGAAAAAGAGCAGTGACACAAGAGCATTAGCTATTGTTTCGTAAACAAGCTTTGTTCCAGACCCTTGTGAACTACACAAATGTACATAATTTTGAGGCTCCATTCTCATCAGATGCAAAGACTTTTTCAAAATGTAGCCTATACAGTATGAAGTAATATTATTCTGTATTAATATTGAAAGTGTCATTAAGATGAGTTAAGTCTCATTACAGATACATTTTTAATAAAGCAGCATGCTAACATCAAAATCCAAGTAATCCATGTAAAATATTAAATGGATGCATTTGACTACTGTTTTAGAGTTTCATAATTTTAACAGTAAAATCCTGTTAATTGGTTAACAGTAAGTTCCATTTTCTATACAATGAACAACTGTATTAGATCTACTGGGACATAGAATTTTTAATTAAATTGTATTTAATAAAATACAGTTAAATAAGTGAAAGTGAGATGTGGAAGTGAAAAAGAACAATGCATATGTTAATTTACAGCGAACAATCGTAAATTGACAATCCCCGAATTTTCTGTGTGACATCTGACAACTGAAATTGAATAAACTTTTCTTTCTTCTCTTATTATTTGTATTGTTATTATTATTTTATCAGTTTTGTAGATTAGGTTTTTATGTTACATTTTATGTTGTTAAATGAATGTTTATTGCATTAATTTAGTTTAATGTGTGTGCTACCATGGTGTTTTGTATTTGTATGTATGACACTGTGCACCATCTATACATTAGTATTAAACCTCAGCATCAGCTTGTGGAAAAGCAATTGTGATGAACTTTATCATGTGATTATTTATTTATTTTATTTTATTTACTACCTGTGTTTCTATGGTGATTGTTAGTATATTATAAAGGTAAATATAAAATAAATTAGTAATTTGGCATATTAACATTATTTCAGTTAATGCAATAGGCTTTATTTTTTTAATATGCAAATGGTAAAGTTCTGGCAACCACAGATGCTTTGTTGTTGTTGTTTCATGGATTTTAGGTTGTAGACTAATGTAGGCAGCAGGCACCTCACTAGGGTTAAGAACATACTTTGTTTGCATTTTTTTATTTTTATAATTTCTAGCTACTTTGTGGCAATGCATCATACACAGCATAACATACTCTATACACACACACGCACAGGTTTGTTTTTATGGTGTATGGGGACTCTCCATAGGCGTAATGGTTTTTATACTGTACAAACCGTATTTTCTATTGCCCTACACCATCCCTACCCCTAAACCTACCCCTTACAGGAGACTTTCTGCATTTTTAGATTTGCAAAAAAACTCATTCTGAATTATTTATAAGCCTTTTGAATTACAGGGACACTGAAAATGTCCTCATAAATCACCTTCTCGTTGTAATACCTATGTCATACCCATGTTATTATACAAATTTGTGTCCTCATAAACCACATAAACATGCACACACACACATACATTCACTCAAAGTAAAACAAACACATCTCATTTCCTGGCAAGGTCTCCC